CTTTAATTGTAGGAAGATGAAGCCTCACAAGCCTCATAAACCTTTAACATTATTATGTGATTTTTAGTGATATTTATAAGAGTGAAGAGGAATTGTCTTGGACCTCTTACAATATACACTATATACTTATTTTTTTTTCTTTACACACAAAATGCCTTTATTGCTAGAGTTTGTTGAACAAATCTAATAACAAACATGTACTTGGAAATTTTCTACATTTATGATCTACCCAATTATGTGTAGAAGAAGCTGAACTGGAAGGTGGGTTAAATATGTCATACGTTTGGAGTAACTGTGTTGTCACAAAATACCTATATCCAGTCCCTTCTCCTCCCCCACACTACCTCCCAATGAATTCTGTTTATCCTTATTTATCATTAATTTAACTTTGACCTTTAGTTGACTAGATTCTTGCCTTACAGGTAGCAATAATAAATTTTTCTGTGTTTTGAACTCAATGAATGTTCCTGGTTATTCACACCTGACAAGTAATTGGAAAAAATTTAAAAAATAATAAAGTTGACGATATTGTAAACTTAAAAGAATTTTGGTGAACTATTTTTTAGATTCTAAAACTGGTAAACGCTATCCTTTGGAAATGTAAAGTCCATAGTCTTTCAAAGCTCATGTGCCACAATTAAATGACCAAGATGCCTTACTTAAAGAAATTACTGTTTTGGTATTAAAGCAGTACTGAGCTTACATTTCACCTTTTGCATTCAAGCAGTCATTTTATTTATTTTATTCAATTTGTATACCGCCCTTCTCCTAGTGGACTCAGGGCAGTGCACAGCCAAAACTAAAACACATAACAATACAAAATTTAAAATTATTAAAAGAATTATATACTTTGGCCCAATTTTAAAACAATTCGAATTAAAACCCATTGACAGATTAAAAGCTAAACAACTAAAAAACTAAAAAAAGGGGGGGGGGTCACGCCAGCCCTGCTTGATGGAAAAGAAAAGTTTTCAGGGCACGGCGAAAGACCTGGAGATCCAATATCCTTCTTATCTTTGCCTGGCTGACGGCACCCTGAGGAGTCCCTCTCTGTGGGAGCGTACTGGTCGGTGGGAGGCTATCGGCGGCAGAAGGTGGTCCCGCAAATACCCAGGTCCTATACCATGGAGCGCTTTAAAGGTGGTAACCAACACCTTGAAGCGCACCCGGAAGACCACTGGAAGCCAATGCAGCTCACGCAGGAGAGGTGTCACATGGGAGCGCCCTCCCGCTCCCATAATCCCCCGCGCGGCCGCATTCTGCACCAGTTGGAGCCTCCGGGTACTCCTCAAGGGGAGCCCCATGTAGAGAGCATTGCAATAGTCCAGGCGGGAAGTGACGAGCGCCTGAGTGACTGTGCGTAAGGAATCCTGATCCAGAAAGGGACGCAACTGGCGAATCAGGTGGACCTGGCCACGGCCGTCATATGCTCTTCTAAAGACAGCTGTGCATCCAGGAGGACGCCCAAGTTGCGAGCCTTATCCGTGGGGGCCAATAACTCGTCCCCAACAGCCAGCGATGGCACCAGCTGGCTATATCGGGACGCCGGAAGCCACAGCCACTCGGTCTTGGAAGGGTTGAGTCGAAGCCTGTTACTCCCAATCCAGATCCGCACGGCCTCCAGGCACTGGGACATCACTTCAAGGGCATCATTGGGATGGCCTGGGGTGGAGATGTACAGCTGCGTATCATCAGCGTACTGATGGAACTCCACCCCAAAGCCACGGATGATCTCACCCAGGGGCTTCACATAAATGTTGAACAGAAGGGGCGAGAGGACTGACCCCTGAGGCACCCCACAAACAAGGCGCCTCGGGGTCGACCTCTGCCCCTCTGCCAACACCGACTGCGACTGGTCGGAGAGATAGGAGGAGAACCACCGCAGAACGGTGCCCCCCACTCCCAACCCCTCCAACTGGCGCAGCAGGATACCATGGTCGATGGTATCAAAAGCCGCTGAGAGATCTAACAGGACCAGGACAGAGGAACAACCCCTATCCCGAGCCCTCCAGAGATCATCCACCAACGCGACCAATGCCGTTTCCGTGCTGTGCCCAGGCCTGAAGCCGGACTGGAGCAGATCCAGACAGGCAGCTTCATCCAGGTACCCAGGAAGCTGTCGCGCCACCACACTCTCAACAACCTTCGCCAAGAAGGGAAGGTTGGAGACCGGATGATAGTTAGCCAAAACAGCCGGATCCAGAGCAGGCTTCTTGAGGAGGGGCCTCACCACCGCCTCTTTCAAGGCAGATGGCAAGACACCCTCACTCAAGGAAGCGTTGATAATCCCCTGGAGCCAGCCTCGCGTTACCTCCCGGGAGGCCAGTACCAACCAGGAGGGACACGGGTCCAATAAACATGTGGTCGCGTTCAGCTGCCCCAGTATCCTGTCCATGTCCTCGGGAGCAACAGGGTCGAACTCCTCCCAAATGGCAGTCTCAAGACCGGCACCCATCATCCCGTCTGTACCTACCCAGTCAGAGACCAAGCCTTCCCGAATCTGAGTGATTTTATCGTGCAGATACTGAACAAAATCCTCGGCACGACCCTGCAAGGGATCCTCCCGCGCTCCCAGATGGAGGAGGGAATGGGTCACCCTAAACAGGGCAGCCGGGCGATTATCTGCCGATGCGATAAGAGCAGAAAAATAGTTACATTTTGCCGCTTTTATCGCCACTAGGTAAGTCTTAATATGAGATCTTACCAGTGTTCGGTCGGATTCAGAGCGACTAGATCTCCAACTGTTCTCTAGGCGTCTTTTCTGGCGCTTCATCTCCCTCAGCTCCTCGGAAAACCAAGGAGCCAGGTAGACTCGGCGACAGGTCAGAGGCCGCACAGGCACGACTCAGTTCAAAGCGTCAGCGGCCGCCCTATCCCAGGCGGCCACCAGCTCCTCAACCGGCTCCTCCTCAGTCAGAGCCTCAGGAAATGGCCCAAGCTCCATCTGGAACCTATCAGGATCCATCAGGCGCCTGGGGTGGAACCATCTGGTCTGTTCCACCTCCCTGCAGAGGGGTGTGGTGGTTAGAAAGTCATACAGGTCTCTGCTTCAAAATGATTTCATTTTAAATGCTAATAACTGCTAATAACTATTTCTATAACTCAAGGATATAATGTAATATTATACAGCCCACACTCACATTTGTTCATACTTTATGCAATCACTATTTTGTTTCTAATTGCTCAGACATTTGGACAAAATTTGTCCAAATGGAAACAGACTTTTTAATTTAAGTAGATTATGCATATTGCATTGTGGCTTTCTCTCCATTTTCATAGGTCCATTTTTATTGTCCTGAACCCTGTTGCTACTTTAATGTATGCTCAATCCTCACCATTTCCAAAAAAACAAAAATTAGATGTTGTAAAGCTGTTGCTGTAAGATGATTTCCTGAAAATTCTGTTTATTTCCTTAATATTAAGTTGATGGTAAGAGGCACATCTCTCAGAAAATTATTTGGTTATTTTGTATAACAGAGATAGCTGACAGAAAAGAATATAGTAGGTTAAGTTTGTACTGTGGACTCTTTGGTGCTGTATGAACTTGTTTGCTTGCAGACATTTCATTGCAAAACTAGGTAACACATTAACAAGCACTGATGATGCTATTTAGCTGGTAACAGGTGTTATCTAGTCAGGAAATGAAATATGTGCCAGTCAGAAAGCGCCAGGAACTCCAGAAATATCAAATTCAGCATTGTGTCATGTGATTTATGCATTAGTTTTTCTCCAAGCATTTTTCCAAAGTAATAACATGCATCCACTAACTGCAAAACACAAATATAAAATGTCTGTGGGACTTTAATATTTTCCCTTTAAATAAAGAAAGACAGGCAGAAACTAATGAAACTGTGAACTTTGAAATAATCTTTCCCGATCTTATGATAATAGATCTTTGTGTCACCAAATGATTTGGAGCAAATTAAGGACAGATTAAAAAGTACTTGTTCACATTAAATGTATTATCAGTTTATGGGTTTTACTTTCCTGAAATATGTACTGACTTTAAAAGCATTATGGTGGACAGGTTTAGAAATAGACTATTAGCATGATAACTGAGACGTGCATGTCCAGAAGCAATTTGAACTCTACACACCATTCTTCTAATTTTCAGAAGAAAATCATCTTTAACTACTCCATCAGGCCATTGTATATTTCACCTGTTTCATTTGCATTCTGTATTATTCACAAACATTCTTTGAAATTTAAATGGAGGCAGGATAATGGCACATAGTTTTCCTAATAAAATATCCAAAATACAGGGCAATGCACTGGAAAGTTACTTCTATTTGATGCAAAGACAAGCTATTTCTCAGAGATGGCCAAAGACCAGATGTTTTGTAGATTACAATATGTCACCACTTCTTTGCAGTCTTTTTTTTTTCTAGTAACCAGGGGTATATCTTGCAGTAATGTAAGGTACATTGCTGTGTGATAAGATTTAATATTTAATTTCAAATGATGAGAATGTACAACAAGGAATATTTCTCCTTCACAACGTCCTGTTTGTAAACTTTCCTGAAAGATATTTGCCCATTCTATGTTGGAAATAGAACTCTGGACTAGATTATCTTGTATCAGTTTGATGGTTTTAGATTCCAGATTTTGTAATTTATAGTTCAATATAACTGGAAACCACAGTTTGAAGAAGGCTGACTAGAGAGACTAGCTGATATGACTTTCCATGATTTTCAGTATTTGAGAAAAAAAACACAACCCTATCCATATGATGTCTGGATGAAAAGACAAGACTCTTTATAGCTCACTAATGCAATCTTTTCAAGTTTGGAGGACAGAGCACACTAGTTCACAACCCAGATCAAGACAGATAATAAAGAATGATTTGTGAATAACATGTAAGAGATGAGAACTAGCATTCAGGGTTTATTATGTTTTCCTATGAAATATGCTGATGCTTTGAAAACAATGGATTATGGATGGTTACAGAACATACAAGTTGGAGATCTGGCATATGTGCCAAGCACAGCAAGGCATGTTACCTTGAGGGCATTAACCATCGCTTCAGGCTGTTGAGAAGATAAGGAGGCCTGTTCATTGAAGCTAGCTGGATGGTTCGGAGAACAGACATTCCCATCTACCTCTGATGGCATCCTAATGGGATCCTTAGTAAAAAAAAATCAAAAGCTATTTAATAGTAAAAAGTAGGCCAAGCTAATCAAACAAAACAATTCCAATACCCACCCTTCCTCTTTATTTTAATTCCCATTGGGCAAATACAAAATTCAGACATATATACAATTTTAAAATATGTATCATAGACCCTCATAAATGTGGAAGTTCCTGGTGCAACAAATGATCTTTGAGTGAAGTTTCTACATATTTCTGTCATATCAGGATAGCATCAGCCCTATCAGATAGACCAGATTAAGAAACAGACGTGTCTGCCTAAAGCTACTTTTATTAGAACAGTTGTAGCACAGTAATAGGACCTTTCAAGTTTGAATCTGCTTCCTTTCCTCCCTCTTTTATCTCCATGAGAATTGGAAGGGGAGGAGTCGTCCTGTCTGAGACATTTATATAAATCTCTTTCTTGATATGGGTTCAAACTACATTTATCTGATTGTTGCCTTAGTAACAGATCTTCCCGCTATTCATCAAGACCATATCCTATAAGCTCTACAGATAACAACAAGCCTTGATTAGTCTTAGAAACCAAAATTTCTAACTTCAGTCCAATACAAATTACAGCACATTTAAATCCTACTGCAAACAAGTTCAATTTAATATGCCTTATTAATTTTCACAAGATTTAAGCACAGCTGACTTCATCAAATTGAGACCCAGTTTTATTTTCACAAACGCCAAAAGACCACACTGTATTAATATAAGATACCGTATCCATCATTATCAGTAAAAGGGAAATGGGTTTACAAATCAGTCTCAGATCCAGTAACCTACGCATTGTACACTAAAACGTCTGAACAAAATCTCCATTTTCCAATGATTTTACTTGTTTTATACAAATCCCTCTGAAAGTAAAGTTCAAAATGCTTCCTGCAGTGTTTAAAGGAGTTCAAGGTGAAACTGCAGTTGCTGGGGCAACCTAATCCAGCCATTTGCTTTGGTAAAATGCTAAAAATATCCTTACTGCAAGGAAGGTAATAATAGCTTGGCCAGTCACAACCAAATCAAATCAGATCGGATTCTTCAGAGATGCTTGTGATATTATCAACCCTTCCATTTAATTAAAACACTGAGAAGAAACAATTGTGGGGGAGGGAAAGGAGCACACAATCTTAGTTAAGGATTGTCTTAAATCATAACGAACAATTTTTTTCAGGCCAAGTGGGAGACAATTTTCCACAGTGAATGAACAAATGTAATATTTTGACTCAATTGTTTAATTGGGTTCTCTATCTAATTTTAGGACATGTGTGGATCACACTCATATTTATGCAGAAATCAAGAATTTTGAAGAGTTCAGAAATTTGCCTCTGATTTTTGTATGACAGTTTGCTTTAGAATAGAATAGAACAGAGTTGGAAAGGACCTTGGAGGTCTTCTAGTCCAACCCCCTGCCCAGGCAGGAAACCCTACAGTACTTCTGACAAATGGTTATCCAACATCTTCTTAAAAATTTCCAGTGTTGGGGCATTCACAACTTCTGCAGGAAAGTTGTTCCACTTGTTAATTGTTCTAACTGTCAGAAAATTTCTCCTTACTTCTAAGTTGCTTCTCTCCTTGATTAGTTTCCACCCATTGCTTCTTGTTCTACCCTCAGGTGCTTTGGAGAATAGTTTGACTCCCTCTTCTTTGTGGCAATCCCTGAGATATTGGAACACTGCTATCATGTCATCCCTAGTCCTTCTTTTCATTAAACTAGACATACCCAGTTCCTGCAACCATTCTTCATATGTTTTAGTCCCCTAATCATCTTTGTTGCTCTTCTCTGCACTCTTTCCAGAGTCTCCACATCTTTTTTATATCGTGGCGACCAAAACTGAATGCAATATTCCAAGTGTGGCCTTATCAAAGCATTATAAAGTGGTATTAACACTTCAAGTGATCTTGATTCTATCCTATTTTATTCTATTCTTGCTTTTCTGCAAGCTCAATTCTTGCAAGTTTTGCCATATCTTAAAACTTTCTGAATCTAGCTCCTGCCCATTTGATCTGTCTCTTTTTCTCTCCACAGCATTTTACGAGAATTTGCCTAAGTGGTAAATGTCTTATTCCATCCAATTGCTTAGTTGTTTTATTATGCAAGCTATTTTTTTTTACTTTTTAATAAAACCCATTTTAAATCACAAGGTAAGGCTGATGTTCTCTAGCCATTATCTCAAAGCTGTTAGGGCCAGATATGTTACAGAGTTGATTCTCCTGTTGTTATTTCTATTATGCCCAGTTTATGGCTGAATAAATTCCCAGGCTGCGAGAGAGTTTCATTTCTATCACATGCTGTCTTCCACCCACCCCTGACCCTGGGAAGATGGTGGCAGCAGAGGCAAACAATTATGCCAATGTAGCCAGACACTGTGCCATGCGCCCCAGGACAAGAGAGGTGGAAACAAAAGAGGCAGGTGGAGGAGTCAAGACCTTTTCACCCACAGCATGTCCTCAACATGTCAGCTATTCACTACTGCTGCTGTCAAACCCCCACAAGGCAGAAAATATGCTCAAATTCTACTTGAATTGAGCTCCAAAGAGATTTGCAAAATGGTAAGCTATCACAACACTCTGTAAATGTCTCCTAAAATTTGTATCATAGCTGCCTTTCACTCAGAAATTTCCTGCATCTGTCACACAAACTCTCACACAAATACACTTGAAGCACTGTCAAAATAACTAAAATTACAAATATAAGAATGTACATGCTGGTTGAACTTCAGTGTAAAAAAGAAAAGTGTGTGTGTGTTTGTGTATAAATATAAACAGGGAGAGATATCTCTTCCATAATGAAATAATAATCTTTTTATGGGGAAGGAGAGAAGAACAATTTGATTAAGTTTAAACTAGTTGGTGGTGGGTCAAATACCTATTGGAGAATAATTGCAATGGTTGTTGAAAATCTGGGTAGCAGAAGGGCTACTTAAACCGCAATCAAGATCTGTAACTCTTATTACCTGCAGAAAAAGATTCACCGTTTGTAAAGCACAGGTAAAGATCTTGTAAAGATCAATACAAGTTTGGTGCCAAAGCATTATCTATAATTAATCCTTCTACTTCTATGTTCTGATACTAGAGTAGTAAGAAAGATTTTTTTAAAAAATATATGGTTTTAAAATATATATTAAAAGACTGCATAATTTCCTTTCAGATGCAGACCACATCGTTTTAGAAAAACTTACAGGACTTTGTACTCTCCAGGCTAAGGTAATAATAATGTTTATTAAAATTATTATTTAAACAATATTTGATGCAGTAATATTTATCAAATTATTTGCCTTCAGGAAGACATTAATTTATTTGCTAAATAGCAAGTCCTTGCTTTGGCATAATACCAAAAGTTTTACAATATAGAACATTTTGGGTCTTTTCTTGGGCAGCTGTGACCAGACATTCTGTGGATGCCCTTATATCAGTATGTTTTTCTTAAATATTTATAAAATATAAATGGCTGCCTAATTCAAGCAGCACGATTCTTCATGGTGCTTGTGGGGTAGAAAACAGAACAGAACAGAACACAACAGAACACAACAGAACAGAACAGAACACAACAGAACAAGGAGCCTTGGTGGCGCAGCAGACTAAAATGCTGTTAAGTAGCACTTAGCTGCCAGCTGCCTGCAATTACTGCAAGTTCAAATCTCACCAGGCTCAAGGTTGACTCAGCCTTCCATCCTTCCGAGGTAGGTAAAATGAGGACCCGGATTGTGGGGGCAATAAGCTGACTTTGTATAAAAAGAACACCGCTTTGGGGGGGGGAAGCCCTACTAAGCAGGTATATACAAAAATATGAAAGCTGTTGCTTAACACATTGTAAGCTGCCCTGAGTCTCCGGAGAAAGGTGGCATATAAATCGAACCAATCAATCAATCAATCAATCAATCAATCAATCAATCAACAAACAGAATAGAATTTTTTATTGGCCAAGTGTGATTGGGCACACAAGGAATTTGTCTTGGTGCATATGCTCTCAGTGTACATAAAAGGAAAAGATACATTTGTCAAGAATCATAAGGTACAACACTTAATGATAGTCATAGGGTACAAATAAGCAATCAGGAAACAATATCAATATAAATCATAAGGATACAAGTAACAAAATTACAGTTATACAGTCATAAGTGGAAGGAGATGGGTGGTGGGAACGATGAGAAGATTAATAGCAGTGCAGACTTAGTAAATAGCTTGACAGTGTTGAGAAAATTATTTGTTTAGCAGAGTGATGGCATTCGGGGAAAAACTGTTCTTGTGTCTAGTTGTTCTGGTGTGCAGTGCTCTATAGCGTCATTTTGAGGGTAGGAGTTGAAACAGTTTATGTCGAGGATGCGAGGGGTCTATAAATATTTTCACAGCCCTTAACCAAATTAACAGCAAATTAACCAAAATATAGGAGAAAAATGTCATTAAATAGAACTAAAATAATTCTAAAGGTATGGGGGTTCATTCCAAAGGGCAAGGACCACCACCAAGAACGCATACCTCCTGGGTCTAATAAGATGATATTGTTTCAGAGAAGTGACCTATAGCATAATCTTATTTATTTATTTGTTCAACTTGTATGCCGCCTTTCTCCGAAGACTCAACCCTTATTGAACATAAGGGATAGGCAGATACCATCGGAGACAGAGGGCACTCACCAGTGATCTTTAAAAGTGTTAACTAGCACTCTGAATTGCATCCAGAAGCCTACTTGGAGCTAGTAAGGTGTTACAAGATCTAATGAGGCATGCCCAAAACTACTGATGCCATTGTTCTGGACCAACTGAAGTCAGATGGTCTTCAAGAGCAGTACCATGTAGAGTATATTGCAATAATCCAACTGGGAATTGACTGAAGCACGGTCATAAAATATCACTGGAAGAAGCTGAGGAATACCCTTCCTTCCAGGGTGGATAAAAATCGATGGTTTTTTTAATTAAAAAAAATCAGATTTTTTAAATTGAAATCGGATGTTTTTTATTTTATCAAATTTTAATAAAACGCTTTTGGAGTAAAA